AAATAAAATAAAATAAAATAAAATAAAATAAAATAAAATAAAATAAAATAAAATAAAATAAAATAAAATAAAATAAAATAAAATAAAATAAAATAAAATAGAATTAAATTTGTAAAATGAAAAAATAAAAGAATAATAAAATTTAATTCTGTTAAAACAAACTCACCCCTTGCTTTTACTAAATCACATAAAAAACAAAACATTTTCAGCAAGAATTCGGCCTGCGACTACCTCAATGGGCCAAAAGTTATTTTCCCCACCGAATGCAATTCCTAACGGATCAGAGTTATATTTACAACGTTTATACACCGGAGATGCAAAAGATTAAGGCTGGACCATTTTTGAAAAAAATGTTTACCGAAATGCTGGAAAAACGTGAGGGCCAACTTACGCCGAGTAAAAGAAAATTATTTATTTACACTGGTCACGATACCACCGTGGTGAATATACTATCAGCATTGAAAATATGGAAGCGTCAGCTACCGCGATATTCGGTTATGACAATTTTTGAATTACACAAAAACAAGGATACCGGAGAGTATTATGTAGAGGTGAGTATTTATTGGCAACTTTAGTTAAGTATAACAACACCTAATTCTTCCCTCTCTGCGCAGATTTATTTCCGTAGTCATGCCAAAGCACCACTTGAGCAATTAACAATTCCAGGCTGTGATTTTCAATGTCCTTTGGACAAATTAATCGAATTAAATGCAGATGTGATTCCTACAGACGCTAATAATGAGCGTTGCTCTGCGAAGAATGAAGATTTTACAGAGCCTCCGCTGCGGGGGCCCTAAGTGATTTACTTACAAATATAGTATTGTTTTAGCCTAATTTGTTTTTTTTTTTTATTAGTTTTACATTTTACAAAATTGAAATGAATTTAACTTTAACTACTAAAAAGTATGTATGTATAAGCTCGCTTAGTAAGTAAATTGAATTTGTTTATAAGTTCCTAAATATTTGAAAGTAACATTTTGGTATTTCCTTACTTTTGAATGATTTTATGTGCAATTCTATGAGCAGAGATACGATTTTTGAACTCATGCATTGCTTCCATGAAAAAAGCTTATCAGTAAAACCATTTTCCTTTCGAACTTGATTCGAACCGGTTACCAAGTTCGAGAAACCCGGGTTTTAATACCGGTTGCCAATTTTCATAAAATCGGAGCGGTCACGTCCACTGTTTTTATTGTGGTTATTTCAAAATTAAAATCGATTTTAACGAAATTAGTAATTGGTACTAAGATCTGGGACTTTTCGAAATTGGTAACCGGTACAAAAAAAACGAGCGATCCGATATTTGTGAATAGTAAGAGCGAAACCAAGTGGCAGCCTAAAAACAAATTCGATATTGTTAAGAATAACAACAACAACATTATTCCTTTAGTCTTAATTAACATCAACAACCAAAGGGAAAGTTATGAAGGGAAAGCTAAAAAATGTGTGCCAAATAATGAAAAATCAACGTAACTTCAAACAAGCAAAAGGATTAAAAGGACAAATTTGTACATATCTATATAATTTATAGCAAATAAATAATAATATCTAAAAATGCTTTCTTAACGCAAAAAAGCAAACATTAACAACGAACTTAATCCACATAACAAGAAAAAAGCCACTACTCGACTTCGAAAGGGAAATGCAATTTAAACTTTTCATTATGTTTTTCAAGAGCCGCTCAGCATTAGTTGCAATTTTTGCCAAACTAAAACATCACTCCATTCAGCTGATGGTGGCCCCCATTGGCAAATGGCATGGCCCTTAAACGTCTTTTTATGTAAACTAACTTACAAACATACAAAGACACCGCCATGCCGGCACACAGTCACACCCACCTACGCTAAGTCAGCCACACACTTGCCTATGCACCACAAATGCACACACACACACACCCACACCCAAACAGCAAGCAAAGGAGCCAGCCAACATTAATATTTTCGGTTGAACTTAAACTTCATTTGAGTTTCGCTGGTGCATCTACGATGCTGTTGAATTGTAAAGTTGGCGAACATTAGATACGCCTTATTGACTACCACTTTTTGTGATTTAACAACATTTTTGCTTCAGGTACATAGTTGAAACTCCGTAAATTTGTAGCGTACTTGTGAAAATTCTCTAGACCCCTTCAATTTGCCGCTTTGTTACATATACATATATAAATATGTATATTCCGCTTGCCGAAATGCATACACTCGTATATATGTACATACATACATATAGTTGAAAAGCTTATTCCAGAGAGAATTTGGCGCAGACATTACCCAGTACGGCATAGCTCAACCAATTAGCCCAGAAAAATTAATTTATTTCTACTTGTGTAGGAACTAACTTTAAATCGATGTATAATCAGCTAGCACTTTTATGTATAAAATAATTGAAATATTAATTGAAAAATCATCTGACTTTGGGCAATTAACTATTTCAGCATTTAATATGTACTAAGCAATTTTAAATTGTTTGAAAAGAAATCTGCAAAAGAAACATGCTGACTTTGAAGAGCTTTAAGCCAAATCCATTTTAAAGTAGTTGAAATCAAATGCAGTGTCGGATAATTGACTGATGCCTAGAACATCGCCATGTTAAAGTCAACACTTCAGTCCAAGGAAGCCAGTCAGATCTTCGACTACTTGTGGTGGATAAAAAACTGGTTGAACATCGATATTTAAACTAGTTTCTTTTCGTACTGGGTATGCATTAGGGATGTTAATTTTTCAGCTTTTTCCGATCCCGAGATTTTAGGGATGTCGTTATCACAATCCCGGGATGCCGGGATTTGGATATTCATTACTTTTCAACAATTTAAATCGAAAAAATTGCTTCTAAATTATTTGAGAAGCTCTCCTACCATAAAATAAATAATAAGTAAATGGGTTTGAAACCTACTTTTATATTTAAAGTAGCGTTTTTATTTTTTCTCTCTGACGTCAGGATTTATTTCGAAGGACTTTGTAATTTCAAAGTTATGATTAATTCTAAAAATTATTTTAAAAATTCAATGAAATGTAAAATAACAAGTAAGAAAGTCTAAGTTCGGGCGGAACCGAACATTAAATACCCGGCGCAAGTATTAAATATATGTTTTCCACCTTTCCGAAAGCTACCGCTACATGATAAGCCGGGGTGTATACATTTTAAGTAAATTAGCGTCCTTAAATTTCGAAATATTGAAATTTCAAGCATTTCTGAAATTTACCGTTATATGAAAAGCGTAAACCGTAATTTTAGACCGATTTCAACAATTTTCAACGGTTTGCTTTTATGTGGCAAGCACAATAACCATACCGAGTTTGGTACAAATTGCTAGAACGGTTAGCGAGATACATATATGTCATCACAAGTGGGCGGTGCCACGCCCATTTTCCAAAATTTTATCATAAACGTATTTCTTGGTAAAGAATTGTTGCAACCATCAATTTTGAATAAATTTGCTTTAATATTTACTGATTTATCGAAGATTTTGTATTTCTCGAAATTACCGTTATATGGGATGTGGGCGTGGTTATTGTCCGATTTTAAAAACTTTCGGCCATTTGGTATGCTGTACCAGGACCAACAACTGTGCCAAGTTTGGAAGAAATTTGTGCAGCGGTTACCAAGATATACACATGTAACCATAAGTGGGCGTGGCTAAACCCATTTGCCAAAATTTTAAAATATTCTTATTTTTCGTCTAAAACTCATTGTAAATATCAATTTTGAGTGAATAATCTTCAGTAGTTACTAAAATATCGCAGTTTTCGTATTTCTGAAAATTACCGTTATATGGGAGGTAGGCGTGGTTATTGTCCGATTTTTTAAATTTTCGGCCATTTAGTGTGATGTATCAAGGCCAACAACTGTGAAGAGTTTGGAAGAAATTGGTGCAGCGGTTACCAAGATATACACATGTAACCATAAGTGGGCGTGGCTACGCCCATTTTCCAAAAATTTATAATGTTCATATTTTCCGTCTGAAACTCATTGTAAGTATCAATTTTGAGTGAATTGTCTTCAGCAGTTACTAAAATATCGCAGTTTTCGTATTTGTTAAAATTACCGTTATATGGGAGGTAGGCGTGGTTATTGTCCGATTTCGCCCATTTTCAATACCATCCGTCCTACGCCCAAAAGAAGTTCACGTAC